AATGCAGACCCCACAACAACCCTGACCCCAATGCAGACCCTACAGACCCCCCCTCTCACCATTGGGGTCCCGGTTCCGGGGGTCTCCCCGCGCCCCCCCCTCCGTTTCCTCACCAGGTCGGCGTCCCGGAGGTGGCTGAAGGTGCGGGGGGGGGCGCGGGACCCCCCCCTCTGGCGGGGGGGCCCGGGGGGGGGGGGGGGGGGGGTTGTAGGATCTGCGTTAATTGGGGTTGTTGTGGGGTCTGCATTAATTGGGGTTGTTGTTGTAGGGTCTGTGTTAATTGGGGTTGTTGTGGGGTCTGCGTTAATTGGGGTCAGTTTCGTTGTAGGGTCTGCGTTAATTGGGGTTAATGTTGTGGGGTCTGCATTAATTGGGAGGAGAGTCATAGGACATGCATTAATTGGGGTTAATGTTGTGGGGTCTGCATTAATTGGGGTCAGTGTTGTTGTGGGATCTGCATTAATGGGGTTCTGTAATGTTACTGTAGCCCCACATCGATGACGTTAATTACTGCAGGCCCGCATTAATGACATTAATTACCCTCTGGGTAATTAACCTGGGGGTCCTGATGCTCCCCTCTCCCCCCAGGCTGAACCCAGCCCCCCGATGGAGCCTGGAGCTGCAGTGGAGGAGGAGACGCCGGTGAGGATGGGGTCCTGGGGGGGCACTTTGGGGTCCCTTTGGGGTCCCTTTGGGGTGACTTTGGGGTCCCATTGGGGTGACTTGGGTTCCCTTCCGGGACTCTTTGGGGTCCTACTGGGGTCCTTTTGGGGACACTTCAGGGTCCTGTTGGGGTGACTTTGGGGTCCCATCAGGGTCCTTTTGGGGTGACCTTGGGCTCCCTTTGGGGCCACTTCAGGGTCCTATTGGGCTCCCATTGGGGTCCCTTTGGGGTCCCATTGGGGTGACTTGGGTTCCCTTCGGGGACGCTTTGGGATCCTGTTGGGTCCTTTTGGGGTGACCTTGGGCTCCCATTGGTCTCCCATTGGGGTCCCTTTGGGGTCCCTTTGGGGTCCTTTTGGGGTGACCTTGGGCTCCCTTTGGGGTC